TTGCTTTGGGATTATTAATTTAATCTGAAGGACCAAAGACTATAATGTCTGTTTTACTCTCATTAAAATTCAGAAAGTTTAGAGACAACCGGGACTTTACATCTGACAAGCAAGCCATGAGAGTGTTCAAACCGTCTGAATTACGTTTTGAGGGCAGATAAACTTGGGTGTCATCAGCATAACAATGGAATGACAGCCCATACTTCCTGAAGATAGAACCAAGTGGGAGCATGTATATTGAAAAAAGAATGGGAGCCAAAATGGATCCCTGAGGAACCCCACATGATAAAGAAGCAGCACTAGAAAAATTATCTCCAACATTAACTGAATAACTTCGATTAGAAAAATAAGATTTAAACCAATTTAAGGCACTACCCTTAATACCTGCGCATTGCTCCAACCGAGCAATAAGAATTTCGTGATCGACCGTATCAAATGCAGCGGTCAAATCTAGGAGCACAAGCACATCATAGTTGCCAGAATCGCAGGTTACTAAAATATCATTTAAAACTTTCAACAATGCACTCTCAGTAGAGTGATGTTTTTTAAAACCGGATTGAAATATTTCAAAAATCATGTTGTCATCTAGAAAACCCTGCAATTGCTGTAGGACAATTTTCTCTAAAATCTTAGCGATAAATGACAAATTTGAGATGGGTCTAAAGTTGGCTAACACTGTGGGGTCTAAGTTCTGTTTTTTAAGCAGGGGGTGGACTGTTGCATGTTTTAATAAGTCAGGTACAATACCGGTTTATCATAATCAAGAGCTGTTGGCCGACTACATCATAAACTTGTTTAAGAAAATATGGAGGAATTATATCAATAGAAGAGCCTGAAGGCTTAAGCTTATCCACTATTTCTTGATGATGAGTGCCAGAAATGGGTTTAAAATGACTAAAAGCAGCACTACAAACAGGGGGCAAAGAGGGATCAACGCAAGAGGGAGTTATCCCCAGTCTTAGATTACTTATCTTATTAACAAAAAAATTAAGAAAAGCTTCACACATAGATGAAGACATTTCAGAAAACAAACACACAGAGGGGTTTATAGTAGTATTGATAACAGGGAAAAGTGTTTTTGGCCTGTGACAGTTTTTAGTAATGATTTCTAAAAAATATCTAGATTTTGCTGCTTTGACTGCTTTCTGGTACTGCAATAACGAACGACCGTTTGTGCAGCAAGCCCACAGTGACTCAGTAATGAGCTGTTTCTCACCTTTATTTTGTGGTACGCTGTCTTTTTATGGACGCTTTTCACATTTCCTGGGTTCTCAGAAGCAGACGTCATCATAGTTGGGTTAACAGAAACTGTAAGAAATATATAATTTTTGTGTTTCCATTTGCCCCAATAGCAAAAAATAAATAAATAAATAAAATAAATAAATACCCAATAGCGTTTCTATGACTTTCCTAAAGAGAGAGAAAAAAAATTAAAAATATCAAGAGATTAATTAAACCAACATAGGTCAGAAGAGAGAAAGATGTCAAATTAGCTGTCATCAGCCGTTGTATTTGAAACACTCATTCAGCAGTATTAACTAGTTTTCTGTAATTTAATACCAAGATAATAAACACAAACATTTTATAACTGTTATACACTTTCTAAGCAGATAAATGGATCTCAGTAAAAAAAAAAAAAAAAGTCAATACAAAAAGTAAAAAGTGCCACATGCCAGTATGTAGGATAAATTTGTGTTTCCATAATCTCACATTTAATCCAAATTGGCTGTGCAAATCATATACTAGCTTGTAAATCTGAATAAATAAGAATGTTTTCACTCTACCTGACTTTATTAAAGCACAGATAGCAAGGGCCCCATATGCCTGAGTGCATAAACACACCCATATGGACCCACTGATAATGAGGTTAGGCCCGTCTTCCTGTTGCCTGTGTCAACCAAGGGTCTCCAAATCCCACACTGACATGTTCAAAATCCCAACATGGCCTGGCAGTTTTACATGTGAAAGAATATTTAACTTTTCACTGACCCATTCACAGTCAGGGAGCTGCAAGAAGCTCTAAGCTTGCCTGAGATTAGCTTTCAGAGAATAATGCAGTGAATTGAACCCCACACATACCACCTCCTGGCCTCTCTCTTGTTCTCAGGGTAACCAAACATACTTGGAGGGATAGGGACCCTTGACCATTCTTTTTAACCTTGCAGAGAAGCAAGGCAGAAAAGAAGAGTGTTCATATAGCTTCGGATTTGAGGGCAAGACTTACTTAAACATGCAGGGCCAAACAATGGAAGTAAAACAGAAAAACACAAAGGCTGTGTCCTATATTAAGCTACACATTTCTGGCATCAGGTGGTTGTTGCAAAAACATTTGGAGATTTTCTTCACAAACTCACTTGTATGTGATTAAAGGTAATTTGTAACTCAATTATAGGTAAGTAAGTAGACCTATTACTGATATGGATTATTTACATAATTTCAAGGATATTTATATAAATCATACACTTTTGTGTGTTTCTACTGCATTCCTAAATTAGCACACTAGTTATTGTTCAGTATTAAAATAAGTCATTCTATTTTATTAGTACCTGATTTATGAACTATCGGCTATACAATAACTACAAAGTAATCATTTAATCTTGTTAAATTATGATTTTTTTGTTGACTATATTCTGTTTATATAGCGCTGAAAGTTTTTTTTGTCATAAAATGATTTGTTTTATTTTCTGTATTTGTTTAACAGTCATGTTTTTGTTGTTGCTTCTAAACTGTGCACTGACTAATAGATATATAATAATAATAATAATTTTTCTCCACTTAATATTTCTCAGGGTGAGTTTACAAAGGTGATACAAACAGGTGATACAAACCATAAAGAAAAAAATATATATATATACTGAAACAGTTACACTGTTATTGCCCAGACAAAAAGATACAGTTCATTGAACACATGATAAACAAACAATGCCCTAATAGTGATTATGGTCACACTATATGGGGTATGTTTTCATAATGGTACCTGCCATTAAACAGACTTTCTAGCAAAACAGTAAAACAATTATACATTTAAAAATGTATAATAGACCATATGTGACTTACCCTGACCTGCTATTTATGAAAAACTCTCTTGTCCTGAGAACATAACTTTTTAGTAAAAAATGTACTTCATTATATTTTGTAAAACTCATGCACTTTTTAGCTAATCAAAGTGCATCACTGATTAATTTAATGATCAGTTACTAAGCCACATTTCTTTATTTTATTTTTATTTATTTAGCCTTTTTATTTATTTTTTACTGTGACCATTTTTTTCTGTGAATTTAATTTAAAAGAAATATTGCCCTTGTTTAACACAATAATTACATGAACGCATTCAAGTCACACTGACACACATGCAGGCAATAATATATATATATATATATATATATATATATATATATTATTGCCTGCATGTGTGTCAGTGTGACTTGAATGCGTTCATGTAATTATTGTGTTAAACAAGGGCAATATTTCTTTTAAATTAAATTCACAGAAAAAAATGGTCACAGTAAAAAATAAATAAAAAGGCTAAATAAATAAAAATAAAATAAAGAAATGTGGCTTAGTAACTGATCATTAAATTAATCAGTGATGCACTTTGATTAGCTAAAAAGTGCATGAGTTTTACAAACCTCTTAAAGCATTTTTCTGATTTTATCTAAGAAACATAAGCTGACAATACCCACGTAATGTCTCAATAGCCTACGTCATAAGTATATCTTAAAATTAATCTAACTATTAAACATAACATTTTTTTGTAGTAAAATCTGATTATTTAAATGAGCAATATTTGCTGAGGGCAAGAAACGTTTTTAACACACCAGTCTATTTTAACTATTAAATGTTTGATAGACCTAATGTAAAATGTAGGCTTCTGAGAATAACAAGTGGCACAGTATAATAAAAGTCTTCAAAAGAACTGCAACAATTAAAAACAAAAAACAAAGTCAAATCACAAACACAAAACAAACACTCCATGTCACCATGTCATTATCATCATCATCATCATCATCATCATTATTATTATTATGCAGATTTTAGGAAACTGACATTTTTTAATAAACCGCAAGGTTTTACAAAGTTTTTATTTACAAAAACAATTTTATCAATATGTTGTTGTAAATATATATATTGCTTTATTAATAAAAATAGTAATTTTTCTTCGTAAATTGTAAGTTAATGTATACGATTTACTTCTAATATTTTACAACAAGATCGTATCGTATAAGGTAACTAATAAGGCAGCTTGCATTCAGTCAAACACAAGGTTTTTTTTTGCATGCTTTACTAACACGTTTCCAGCGTAGCTACTATCAGCCCGCGTAAAAAGCGCTCGCGTTCTCGCGTATACCCCCCTCCCGTCTGCACACATGGTACGAGCCGACCGTGGACGGTGGAAGCCGCTTGTCATTCC